GATAAAGCGCCCCTTCCCAATTTTTGTCTGTGTCTCTTAACAATGCTTTTTTTTTCACGCAAATGATGTAGAAAACAGCGAAATAAGACCGTAAAGTCAAGTAACATTTGTTTAATTTCGACTGTGTGTAATTTAGTAATGCAGTTAAAAATGAGTTTTTTTATACACCGTTTGGCGCCTCCCCAACCCCCCCCCCCCCTGAGGTCGGCGCCCGGGGTGGCCGCTCCCCCCTCCCTCTCCTCGTTTCGCCTTTGGACTATATTAAGTAAGAGAGAGAAATGTGTATACAAGGCGGGACTATAAGAACTACGCTGTCTAGCAGAATATTATCAGCTGCCATTACTACACTTTCGTTAAATATTGTTGGCTAGTAAAAGTCTAACTTTAAATGGGTCACGTGTGATTTGAACCCGCCAATTTTAGATCTAAAGTACAAGTATTTGCTGATAACAAACGTAGGCCTTATTATTTTACTCAATATTGCTTTTGTTTCTTATTTTATTTGAGAATCAAAATACCGAAATCGGTACTCCTTGTGATGTTTCTATTCTAAGAGACCCATTTTTCCTATTTGTTGTTGTTGTTTTTTTTGTCAAAATCGTCATGGGACTTTTCGAACGTCACTGATCTATATATAGCACAGCAAGGATTGCGTCATCTTACTTTTAAATAATTATTTTTAACATTACGTCATTTTAAACATATATTTTTTCTACTGAAATATTGCTATTAATTTTAGAATTAAATTTCAAGCAATTAAAGTTTAAATTTCAAGCAATTAACTCTTAATTAGTAATTTAAGCATTTGAAAAAACATCAGACCTATTTTAAAACGGCCTAGTTTTGTTATTGCAGATTCTGCAGCCTATGCTTAGTGTAGTTTGTTTAGAAGTTGGTGTGCTGTGTGTTACCTGGATTAACATATTTTTATAACTCACAGCTTTGTCTACATCTCATGCTATACGATTTTAAATCAAAACTAGCGGTGTTTAAATGGAAATAGGTTTCGCTTTAACCAAGTGTACAAAAATGGCAGTTAAATATCTAGGTGGACATTTGGTCCATGGTCTGTGGGCTGTGGTCTTATAGTGGGCCCTGGTCTCACTGTGGGCTGTGGTCTCACTGTGGGCCATGGTCTCACTGTGGGCCATGGTCTCACTGTGGGCTGTGGTCTCACTGTGGGCGATGGTCTCACTGTGGGCCATGGTCTAACTGTGGGCCATGGTCTCACTGTGGGCGATGGTCTCACTGTGGGCCATGGTCTCACTGTGGGCGATGGTCTCACTGTGGGCTGTGGTCTCACTGTGGGCCATGGTCTAACTGTGGGCCATGGTCTCACTGTGGGCGATGGTCTCACTGTGGGCCATGGTCTCACTGTGGGCGATGGTCTCACTGTGGGCCGTGGTCTCACTGTGGGCCGTGGTCTCACTGTGGGCCGTGGTCTCACTGTGGGCCGTGGTCTCACTGTGGGCCGTGGTCTCACTGTGGGCCGTGGTCTCATTGTGGGCCGTGGTCTCACTGTGGGCCATGGTCTCACTGTGGGCTGTGGTCTAACTGTGGGCTGTGGGCCATGGTCTCTCTGTGGGCGATGGTCTCACTGTGGGCCGTGGTCTCACTGTGGGCCATGGTCTCTCTGTGGGCCATGGTCTCACTGTGGGCCGTGGTCTCATTGTGGGCCGTGGTCTCACTGTGGGCCATGGTCTCTCTGTGGGCGATGGTCTCACTGTGGGCCGTGGTCTCATTGTGGGCCGTGGTCTCACTGTGGGCCATGGTCTCACTGTGGGCTGTGGTCTAACTGTGGGCTGTGGGCCATGGTCTCTCTGTGGGCGATGGTCTCACTGTGGGCCGTGGTCTCATTGTGGGCCGTGGTCTCACTGTGGGCCATGGTCTCTCTGTGGGCCATGGTCTCACTGTGGGCCGTGGTCTCATTGTGGGCCGTGGTCTCACTGTGGGCCGTGGTCTCACTGTGGGCCGTGGTCTCACTGTGGGCTGTGGTCTCACTGTGGGCCGTGGTCTCACTGTGGGCCGTGGTCTCATTGTGGGCCGTGGTCTCACTGTGAGCCATGGTCTCACTGTGGGCCGTGGTCTCACTGTGGGCTGTGGTCTCACTGTGGGCCGTGGTCTCACTGTGTGTCGTGGTCTCACTGTGGGCCGTGGTCTCATTGTGGGCCGTGGTCTCACTGTGGGCCGTGGTCTCGCTGTGGTCTCACTGTGGGCCATGGTCTCACTGTGGGCGATGGTCTCACTGTGGGCCGTGGTCTCACTGTGGGCCGTGGTCTCACTGTGGGCCGTGGTCTCACTGTGGGCCGTGGTCTCACTGTGGGCCGTGGTCTCACTGTGGGCCATGGTCTCTCTGTGGGCGATGGTCTCACTGTGGGCCGTGGTCTCACTGTGGGCCGTGGTCTCACTGTGGGCCGTGGTCTCACTGTGGGCCGTGGTCTCACTGTGGGCCGTGGTCTCACTGTGGGCCGTGGTCTCTCTGTGGGCGATGGTCTCACTGTGGGCCGTGGTCTCACTGTGGGCCGTGGTCTCACTGTGGGCCGTGGTTTCACTGTGGGCCGTGGTCTCACTGTGGGCCGTGGTCTCTCTGTGGGCGATGGTCTCACTGTGGGCCGTGGTCTCACTGTGGGCCGTGGTCTCACTGTGGGCCGTGGTCTCACTGTGGGCCGTGGTCTCACTGTGGGCCGTGGTCTCACTGTGGGCCGTGGTCTCACTGTGGGCCATGGTCTCTCTGTGGGCGATGGTCTCACTGTGGGCCGTGGTCTCACTGTGGGCCGTGGTCTCACTGTGGGCCGTGGTCTCTCTGTGGGCCGTGGTCTCACTGTGGGCCGTGGTCTCACTGTGGGCCGTGGTCTCACTGTGGGCCATGGTCTCTCTGTGGGCGATGGTCTCACTGTGGGCCGTGGTCTCACTGTGGGCCGTGGTCTCACTGTGGGCCGTGGTCTCACTGTGGGCCGTGGTCTCACTGTGGGCCGTGGTCTCACTGTGGGCCGTGGTCTCACTGTGGGCCGTGGTCTCACTGTGGGCCGTGGTCTCACTGTGGGCCGTGGTCTCACTGTGGGCCGTGGTCTCTCTGTGGGCGGTGGTCTCACTGTGGGCCGTGGTCTCACTGTGGGCCGTGGTCTCACTGTGGGCCGTGGTCTCACTGTGGGCCGTGGTCTCACTGTGGGCCGTGGTCTCACTGTGGGCCGTGGTCTCACTGTGGGCCGTGGTCTCACTGTGGGCCGTGGTCTCTCTGTGGGCGGTGGTCTCACTGTGGGCCGTGGTCTCACTGTGGGCCGTGGTCTCACTGTGGGCCGTGGTCTCACTGTGGGCCGTGGTCTCACTGTGGGCCGTGGTCTCACTGTGGGCCGTGGTCTCACTGTGGGCCGTGGTCTCACTGTGGGCCGTGGTCTCACTGTGGGCCGTGGTCTCACTGTGGGCCGTGGTCTCACTGTGGGCCGTGGTCTCACTGTGGGCCGTGGTCTCACTGTGGGCCGTGGTCTCACTGTGGGCCGTGGTCTCACTGTGGGCCGTGGTCTCACTGTGGGCCGTGGTCTCTCTGTGGGCGGTGGTCTCACTGTGGGCCGTGGTCTCACTGTGGGCCGTGGTCTCACTGTGGGCCGTGGTCTCACTGTGGGCCGTGGTCTCACTGGTCCAATCGTGTCCTTTTATCACCAACCGCCACTGTGCACACACACACATACAAGCACTCACACGCAAGGCATACACACATATAAGCACACACACACACATAGGCCTACAAGCACTCACATACAAGCACACACACACATATACAAGCACTCACACGTAACGTGCACACACACACGCAAGGCACACACACACACACACACAAGCCCACAGAATACCTCAGCAGATGCATTGAATGTCGTTAATTAAAACCTTGTGAAATGCTGCACGGAGATGGTGGTGCAAATTGTATGGCGGTAAATGCGTTCAATAATGTCAGCGAGGTCAAACTTTCTGCATGACTGCACACAATCAGCTCCAGCCAAATGGAACAGTTGATAATGTTAGAAATTGTTGGCGTTGTTTTTTAAACTAACCTGAAGTCACAGACCTAAATGTTCCACCATTTTCTTTTAAATCATTCAAAAAATCATTGTTCCAAGCATATCTTGTGATCGTCTATGCTGACCAATGTGTAGTGACCACCACCTAGATGACCTCAGTAGACACACTTTACTCGGTGCAGTCCTTCCTGTTGTATACTGGCTGCATCCAGTGTTAAATAAACTAATAATTAAATACCTAATTATCATGCTAGATAAATTTTATAGCCTGATATTCTCCAACCAGTTTTCCAAATTCCACTGAATAAGAAAACTGTTCTGATGTTGAGTACAGTTAAGCTATCAGTTCAGGAACCACAACTCTCTTCTCCAGCCTCCACCTGATTTATCAGCAGGCTCTACCTCCTTGATATGTTTGTTGAAGATTTTTAGTTGACTGTCTGCCTCTACCAATCTTAAGTATATTAGCTCTTGACTAGAGATAAGTAAGTTTGATGAAGATAATTGGCTTCTGTTGGATAGAAAAGAGATGAATCTACTTGTTTACCAACACTAGACTGACCATTCAAAACATTTATTCATACTTAGGCCTATACAATTGAAACACAAGTTTGTATTTTACAAAAGCATGTAAAAATAGTAGGAAATACTATTTTATTCACTGTAGTTAAAAGATGCAGTTATGCAATCCATTGTTAAATGCAACCCCTGTTTCTAAATGTGACCCCTGTTTCTAAACGTGACCCCTGTTTCTGAATATGATCTGGCTAAATGTGACCCCTGTTTCTAAATGTGACCCCTGTTTCTAAATGTGACCCCTGTTTCTAAATGTGGCCTTTGTTTCTAAATGTAACCCCTGTTTCTAAATGTGACCCCTGTTTCTAAATGTGACCCCTGCTTCTAAACATGACCCCTGTTTCCCAACCCCCCAACCTGACCCCTGTTTCCCAACCCCCCACCTGACCAGCGATGTGCTTGAATCCCCAGGAGCTGGAGGTGAGCTTGAGGCAGCACCAGAACAATGTGACCAGGATGAACTCGGCTGGAGATGAGATCCTCCACGGAGCCTCCGCCCTCAACGCTGACCAGCTGCGGCAGAAACTGGAGATGATCAATGAAAGGTGGAAGGTGCTGTGTTCAGAGGTGCTGGCCAGGCAGAAGAGGTGAGGGATGATTATCTTAATCCTTGGACTTATCTTAATGCCTTGAATCAAGCTGGACTTATCTTAATCTCTTGAATCAAACTAGACTTATCTTAATCAAAGCTGGACGTATCTTAATCCCTTAAATCAACCTGGACTAATCTTAATCCATTCAATCAAGCTGGATGTATCTTAATCCCTTGAATCAAACTGGACTTAACTTAATCACTTGAATCAAGCTGGACTTAATCTTAATCCCTTGAATCAAGCTGGACTAATCTTAATCCCTTGAATCAAGCTGGACTAATCTTAATCCCTTGAATCAAACTGGACTTAACTTAATCACTTGAATCAAGCTGGACTAATCTTAATCCCTTGAATCAAGCTGGACTAATCTTAATCATTTGAATCAAGCTGGACTTATCTTAATCATTTGAATCAAGCTGGACTAATCTTAATCATTTGAATCAAGCTGGACTTATCTTAATCATTTGAATCAAGCTGGACTAATCTTAATCATTTGAATCAAGCTGGACTTATCTTAATCATTTGAATCAAGCTGGACTTATCTTAATCATTTGAATCAAGCTGGACTTATCTTAATCATTTGAATCAAGCTGGACTTATCTTAATCATTTGAATCAAGCTGGACTTATCTTAATCATTTGAATCAAGCTGGACTTATCTTAATCATTTGAATCAAGCTGGACTTATCTTAATCATTTGAATCAAGCTGGACTTATCTTAATCATTTGAATCAAGCTGGACTTATCTTAATCATTTGAATCAAGCTGGACTTATCTTAATCATTTGAATCAAGCTGGACTTATCTTAATCATTTGAATCAAGCTGGACTTATCTTAATCATTTGAATCAAGCTGGACTTATCTTAATCATTTGAATCAAGCTGGATTTAATCCCTTGATCCATGCTGGTCAGATCTTAATCCCTTGACCAATGCTGGCAAGATTTTAATCTCTTGACACATTCTAGTCAAGAAACGAGCATTGAAATCTTGATCAACCCCCATTATAATACTCAATAGAAAATAAGTAACTGGTATAATTTTCGTTGAGTTTTTTCTTTCAATTTTATTTATTTTGTTTTTGAAAAAAAGTTCTGAGATTTTTATTAAGTCTAATTCAATATAACAGCAATCTGTTGCCTATCAACTTAAAAAGGTGTTGAATTTTTAAAAAAATTCTGGCAACAGTTCAACTGGCAACTCTTGTGTACATGATTTAAAAACAAAAAACCTGGCAATAGTTCAACTGGCAACTCTTGTGTACATGATTTTAAAAAAACCTGGCAATAGCTCAACTGGCAACTCTTGTGTACATGATTTTAAAAAAAACCTGGCAATAGTTCAACTGGCAACTCTTGTGTACATGATTAAAAAAAATTCTGGCAATAGTTCAACTGGCAACTCTTGTGTACATGACTTTAAAAAAAAATTCTGGCAATAGTTCAACTGGCAACTCTTGTGTACATGATTTTAAAAAAAATTCTGGCAATAGTTCAACTGGCAACTCTTGTGTAGATAACTTTAAAAAAAATTCTGGCAATAGTTCAACTGGCAACTCTTGTTTACATGATTAAAAAAAAAATTCTGGCAATAGCTCAACTGGCAACTCTACAGGTCAAAGGAGAGCAGTGTGGAGCCTGCGGAGTTCACGTATGAGATGGACGACCTCTTCTCCTGGATAGATGAGACGGAGAACATCATTGGCTCCTCACTCAGGCCGGACATTGTTTATCTGGAGGCCCTGTTGGAGAAGGTCAAGGTAAGTCAGTTATACCAACTTGCCAAGGTCAAAGTAAGTCAGTTAGACCAACTTCCCAAAGTCAAAGTAAGTTAGACCAACTTACCAAGGTCAAGGTGAGTCAGTTATACCAACTTGCCAAGGTCAAAGTAAGTCAGTTAGACCAACTTCCCAAAGTCAAAGTAAGTTAGACCAACTTACCAAGGTCAAGGTAAGTCAGTTATACCAACTTGCCAAGGTCAAAGTAAGTCAGACCAACTTGCCAAGGTAAGTCAGACCAACTTCCCAAAGTCAAAGTAAGTTAGACCAACTTACCAAGGTCAAGGTAAGTCAGTTATACCAACTTGCCAAGGTCAAAGTAAGTCAGACCAACTTGCCAAGGTAAGTCAGACCAACTTCCCAAAGTCAAAGTAAGTTAGACCAACTTACCAAGGTCAAGGTAAGTCAGTTATACCAACTTGCCAAGGTCAAAGTAAGTCAGACCAACTTGCCAAGGTCAAAGTAAGTCAGACCAACTTGCCAAGGTCAAAGTAAGTCAGACCAACTTGCCAAGGTCAAAGTAAGTCAGACCAACTTGCCAAGGTCAAAGTAAGTCAGACCAACTAGCCAAGGTCAAGTTAAGTCAGACCAACTAGCCATGGTCAAGTAAATCAGCTGGACTAACTTGCCAAGTTCACTACAACTGTTAACCATAAAAAATTCCACAAAATTTAGTAGTGATTATTTTTTTTAATGATTTTGTATCTGATAGTAATAAAAAATTTTAGTTCTAGTTTGGCACTGTTCTCTAAGACTCTTGTGATTCCATTAGGACAGAGAAGACGAGATTGCGCCCAGACAGGCCAACCTCTTCTCCATAAACAGCAGTGGCGCTGCTCTCATGCAGTCCCCCAAGCTGACCGATGAAGACCGCAGCAACATACAGAGAGATATTGACCACTTGAATGAAGGATGGAAAAAGGTTAATTACAACAATGAATTTTAATTAAATTATTTAAATTTTAAATAGGAATTGGGGATTATCCATTATTTATGGATACATTTGTTTTTTTACTTTGTGGAAACTTTAAACAATAGTCAACAAATATCTAGGATAGGTGGTCCCATCATTAATGGTGGTGTTATTATGTGATAATTCTTTAACAGTGTTTACACTTGCAACATGTATAGGCCTACTAAACACATCTATAAAAAAAAGCTTCCCATTGAATACCCCCCTTCCCCACCATACATGTTGTAATAAAATTAACATGTGGCAAATTTTTTTTTCCTATACCTGTATAGTCTACATGTCGCTAGAGTAAACGCTGTGTAACAAACTTTAGAGAAAACGGAACTTAATTAAATTACAGCTTGGTACATCTATTGATGACCAAATAAAAATATTGACCTTTCAAATGTTTTTGTGGCAGGTCACATCAGAGGTGCCAGAAAAAATTGTGCAGATCCAAGAGGAGATCAAGAGGGTCACAGGATTCCATGAGGATCTTGACGCCATGCAGAAGTGGATTGTGGACACCAGGAGTGTGCTGGAGACACAGACAGAGCCGGTCAAGTCTCTGACTGACATGGGTCAGACTGACAGTGTCATAGTGGACCAACAGGTGAGTTGATGGTCAGACTGACAGCGTCATAGTGGACCAACAGGTGAGTTGGTGGGTCAGACTGACAGTGTCATAGTGGACCAACAGGTGAGTTGGTGGGTCAGACTGACAGTGTCATAGTGGACCAACAGGTGAGTTGGTGGGTCAGACTGACAGTGTCATAGTGGACCAACAGGTGAGTTGATGGTCAGACCTACAGTGTCATAGTGGACCAACAGGTGAGTTGATGGTCAGACCTACAGTGTCATAGTGGACCAGACTGACACTGTCATAGTGGACCAGACTGACAGTGTCATAGTGGACTAGACTGACACTGTCATAGTGGGTCAGACTGACAGTGTCATAGTGGGTCAGACTGACAGTGTCATAGTGGGTCAGACTGACAGTGTCATAGTGGACCAACAGGTGAGTTGATGGTCAGACTGACAGTGTCATAGTGGACCAGACTGACAGCGTCATAGGGGGTCAGAGTTGATTAGCAGGTACATTTTTGCTCTGTAGAGGTTTAAGCCTTTTACTGACCATTTGAAAGAGGTGTTAGCTTCTGGCAATTATCTGAAATAGGGTTTGTATCAAGAGCCTTCAGCAAGGGGTAGCAATAAACTTGCACTTAGTCTTGTTGGGAGTTCCCAAAATAACCACAGTTGTAATCAATAAATCCAGTTCTAAAAAATAAAGTATAGAATGAATTAAATGGATTAGTTAAATCTAGTGTAGTTCTCTGTACGTTAAACAGTGACAGTACATCTTGTTTGTAATCAAACAGTGTAAGGTGTGCACATCTTTTTTGGACATATTTTTATTTCTCAAGTGAAGCTAACATAAAATTATGTCTGTGGTACACTTGTATCAAATATATTTTTCTGAACAACTATTTCAAATCTTTACTGAAGTAATACAATGCTATGTGTTTCCCTGACCTGCAGACCACAGCTGATGCCATAGAGGCCCAGCAAGCCAAGATTAGCCAGATGAACGCCACCTACAGCAGACATGTGGAGGCCTGCTCAGAGCAGGGCGTGGTCCCACCCGAGGGCCTCAAGGAGAAAATCAACAAACTCAACGCTGACTTTGAGGAGGTGAAGCAGTTGTCTAAAAATATCAACAAAAGGACGGAGCCACAGATTACTGAAGTCATGGAGCAAGGTTTGACACTTTCTCTTTCTACATTAGCTTGATCCAACTGGAGAGGTTCTGACTAGTTAGCGCTACAGGAATATTGAAATTGTAACAGAAATTTACGCAATTTGTAGATTTTACATTAAGCTTACTCTTTTGTATATGATTGAGATTTAGCCTTGAAGATTTATTTTTGTAATAAACACTAGTGTATTTTATTATTAATGTGTGAGTACTAGTCTACAAGATCATCCACGTTATCCAAAAATAAATCTGTTGTGATAGAAAAGCACACTAAGTAACTCCCCTTTACACACCTTGTACAACACACCTGTAGGAAAGTTTTATTGTTGGCCCCTAGCAGTTAGTTCACTCTGTTTAATCCCACTTGGTATGTCATAACAAGAGAGAGGGGGGGGGGGGGGGGGGGGTTTATACTATCTTGTTCTTCTGTTATGTAGTCTATGTTGGCCATTATAGTCTTCCTCTATTCCACATTATCTTCTACCACTTGTAGTATCATTCCCAGTCACAAACTCCTTCCATTCTCTGATCTTGTCTTTCATCTATTGTCTGCCTCGTTTTCATTTGTCTGGAACTGTTCCTCGTAAGAATGTCAAGTATTAGATTTTATGTCAAACGTTTTCAAACCATTACAACAGGCTAACCCTAACAACCCTGACAACCCTACTAACCCTGACAACCCTACTAACCCTGACAACCCTACTAACCCTGACAACCCTACTAACACTGACAACCCTAACAACCCTAACAACACTGACAACCCTACTAACCCTAACAACCCTACTAACACTGACAACCCTACTAACCCTAACAACCCTACTAACACTGACAACCCTACTAACCCTAACAACCCTACTAACACTGACAACCCTAACAACCTTAACAATCCTGACCCTGGTGTTGTCCACAGTGAAGCAGGTGCACGTGCAGGTAGAACACAAGCAGACGTCGGTCACCTCGTCCACCTCCTGGCTGGAGTTTGACAAGTCCATCACGGAGCTGCGTAACTGGCTGACCCTGCTGGAGCAGATGCTCACCTCACAGAAGGTCACAGTGGGAGAGGTCAAGGACATTGAGCACATGATACAAAAACAGAAGGTATGTGTATGGCCTGATACATCTACAGTGGGAGATTTTTTTTTTTTTCAGTTTATTTCTTGCATGACATTCTCAACAATTAACGCAGGATAAAGTAGTTTTGTATGAAATGGGCACAGTCAACTAACAGGCATGACAAACTAAGGATATGACTTAGGGCTAACTTCATCACTCTCTTACTTGCTTGTTGCTTAACTGGCAAATTCCACTTTCTTGGATGCCAGATGTTTTTAAATTCCAAATTTTAATAATTTTTAAAATGCTTAACTATACTCAAAAAGTTGAACGGAAAAGTTTAAAGTTATGATTCAGAAGAAGATTAAAATAATACCATATTTCAGCAGTCACTAGTTTACAAACTTTAAAATAGAACTGTCCTCTTCAAACTTGACATAGGACAAGCTTAGCTGGCAACAAGTGGCTTTACAGCTATGGCTTTTTTTTTGTTATTTCAAAAAGAGATAACTAGAAAATCCTGGATGCTGATCTCTACTTTGTAAACCTAATAAACCTTTTCATTAGATGTTGCATACAAAAAAAAGTGTTTGCTTTTTTTTAAAAAACATATTTCCTCACTGATCAGTCCACAATTAGCAAATTAAAAAATAGTTCAAATTCTTTTTTCTGAGTGGCCAAATCTACCTGGTTTTATCTGGCATGATTTAAGTGTTTGTTTTTAATGAAATAAAATTGTAACTATAACTTGTATAGAATGCTGAACTAACTCAGATTGCTCCACCAATGCAGTATGCTGAACTAATAGAGAATATTTGACATATTATTATCTAGAATGCTGAACTAATTTAGAATATTTGACATATCTAGAATGCTGAACTAATACAGTATGTTGAACTAATGAACTAATGCAGTATGTTGAACTAATGCAGTATGTTGAACTAATGCAGTATGTTGAACTAATGCAGTATGTTGAACTAATGCAGTATGTTGACCTAATGCAGTATGTTGACCTAATGCAGTATGTTGACCTAATGCAGTATGTTGACCTAATGCACTATGTTGACCTAATGTTGCCATTTACAGTTGTGGCCTGCACCTAATGTTGACCTGCCCCTCACTGTTTTATTCCAGCATGAAGTGACCAGTCCTCTGGTCAGTGCTAATGAGTTTGACCTGAATGAGTTTGTAGACGGCAGCCCCCTGCTGTGTCTGTCAGACCATGACCTGGGCTCTCTCCAGGCTCAGGTGGCTGACATCACCAGCTACCTCAGGCAGCTGGAGGTGCGTGCTTGTGTTGTGCTGGCACCCACCCTCGGGCATGTGTTGTGGCACCCACCCTCGGGCATGTGTTGTGGCACCCTCGGGCATGTGTTGTGGCACCCACCCTCGGGCATGTGTTGTGGCACCCACCCTCGGGCATGTGTTGTGGCACCCTCGGGCATGTGTTGTGGCACCCACCCTCGGGCATGTGTTGTGGCACCCACCCTCGGGCATGTGTTGTGGCACCCACCCTCGGGCATGTGTTGTGGCACCCACCCTCGGGCATGTGTTGTGGCACCCACCCTCGGGCATGTGTTGTGGCACCCACCCTCGGGCATGTGTTATGGCACCCACCCTCGGGCATGTGTTGTGGCACCCACCCTCGGGCATGTGTTGTGGCACCCACCCTCGGGCATGTGTTGTGGCACCCTCGAGCATGTGTTGTGGCACCCTCGAGCATGTGTTGTGGCACCCTCCTGTTAAATGTAGCATGGCACACTGCATGACAAATTTTTGAAAGATTGGTGTGTTGGTTGTTTTTTCAGCAAAGGGAAGCAATTGTTGTAATTAAATGGAAGCAACTTAAGTGTGCTCTATATGTTTCACTCTGTTTTGTGTTGCTCGAACATTCCAGCCAGTAGGAAGATATAGCACCTTGGAGGAAGAAATGATGTTGATGTTGTATGTTTTTTTCAGTGTTCTGCTTACTGTGGTCCCAGTGATTTTTTTTTACCTTTATTTTTCAAGTATAACAATTATAACCGTCATTACTCCTACTCCTTTCTTAAAATATTTAGAAAAATTATTTCGGCAATTTAGTAATTAAAAAATGTTCTGGTCATAATATTTTTATTTTATTTGAATAAGCGGTGCAGCATAGTCAGCTTACAGCTTTACAAAGTTTTTTTTTTCTTATTGTTTGTATTTTTTTAAAGGGGAACAATCACTGTTATTTAAAGAGAATTTGTGTTACACGTTATAGTTTCCCTTAATTTTTTATTATTGTCTGGTATTCACTGTGCAGATGTGTAATACTATTTTAGCATGAAATCTTGAAAATGAAACAGGTTGATTACCCGTTAAATTAATTTTCAAATACACGCATAATAAGCTTGTAATCACTTTTACAAACCATAGCTTTAAATATTTTACGTAGCAGTTAAATGTTATTCTTATCTACTGTAATTAGTATCAATTCTGTTGATATGTCTCGTAATACAACAATATTTTTTCTGGATTGAATAAGTGGTGATGAGTTTAGTCAACAGTTGCAACTAATGATAAGTGGTAATGAGATTAGCCAAATGTTGCAACTAATGATGAGTAGTGATAAGATTAACCAAATGTTGCAACTAATGATGAGTGGTGATGAGATTAACCAAATGTCGCAACTAATGATGAGTGGTGATGAGATTAACCAAATGTTGCAACTAATGATGAGTGGTGATGAGATTAGCCAAATGTTGCAGTATGATGATGACGTTAGCCAAATGTTGCAGTACGTTTTTCTGTGATCTCCAGAAGCACCTGAGTGAGATGGAGAGTAAAAAGTCCCAGCTGGACTCTGTGATGACCACATCGTCCAAGCTACAGAAGTCCATGGACAACTTCAGTGAGAGACAGGCCCTCAAGGAAAGAAGTGAGCTCAGTTGCTGCTTTAGAATACTTTGTTTTCTTTAGCTTGTTGTCCATAACATTGATTTAGATTAATCATTGTTTAGTTATATCAGATTCTAGGGAGTGGTCAGGCTATTGTCTCAATGAACACATTGAGTGTGGGAATCAAATTGAGTGTGGGAATCAAATCGAGTGTGGGAATCAAATTCAGTGTGGGAATCAAATTCAGTGTGGGAATCAAATTGAGTGTGGGAATCAAATTCAGTGTGGGAATCAAATTGACTGTACACCACAAATTGACTGTACACCACAAATTGACTGTACACCACAAATTGACTACTGTAAACCACAAATTGACTGTACACATCAAATTGACTGTACACGTCAAATTGACTGTACACATCAAATTGACTGTGCGCATCAAATTAACTGTATGCATCAAATTGACTGTACACATCAAATTGACTGTACACATCAAATTGACTGTACACATCAAATTGACTGTACACATCAAATTGACTGTACACATCAAATTGACTGTACACATCAAATTGACTGTACACATCAAATTGACTGTGGACGATAAATTGTTTTCTACCATGATAACTGACAATTTTAACCCTCTGAGCAGCTGAAAGACTGAGGATCGACTGGGAGCAGACAGTCCACCACGTGAACAGACGCAAGAACCAGCTGGACAACATGCTGGGAGAGTGTAAGACGTTTGACCAGTCCTATGCTCAGATGGAGGACTGGCTCTCTCAGACAGAGAGTCAACTGGACAAGATGGAGGCTCAGGCTGGTGGCAACGAGGCCATCACCAGTCATGAGGTGAGAACCATTGATTTCTGTCTTTAGGGTCATCGCTAGCCATCAAGTGAGAACCCCTGTTTTCTAGCTGTGAGGCCATCACTAGTCATGTGATGAGAATCTTTGATATTTTTTGTAAAAGGTTAAAATTGTGTCCTATGTGCTTGCAAATATGGTGAAACTTAATGCAACATTCTCAGCCTACACTGAACCCCTACACTGTCCCTCCCTACACTGTCCCCCCTTCACTAACCCCCCCCTACACTGTCCCCCCTTCACTGACCCCCCCCCCCTACACTGTCCCCCCTTCACTGACCCCCCCCCCCCCTACACTGACCCACCTAACTGTCCCCCTGTCTATGCTACAGAAGCTTCAGGAAGACTTCAACAAACACAAGGACACAGTGGACGTGTTGAAGGGTCAAGCTGAGCAGCTGATCCAGGACCACGTCAACGATGACACCCACCACATCAAGCGTCAGCTGGAGAGGCTGACCAACAGATGGTCCATCCTTCTCAACAGGTCAGTGCTTTCTTCTCAATAGGTCAGTGCTTTCTTCTCAACAGGTGAGGGGTTTCTTCTCAACATGTCAGTGCTTTCTTCTCAATAGGTCAGTGCTTTCTTCTCAACTGGTCAGTGCTTTCTTCTCAATAGGTCAGTGCTTTCTTCTCAATAGGTCAGTGCTTTCTTCTCAATAGGTCAGTGCTTTCTTCTCAACAGGTGAGGGGTTTCTTCTCCTGCCAATCTTCTGCTGGTTCTACCTGAAACACATTACCTGCTCATTGAAGTTTCTGGAATTCTTGTTTGAATTCTTCATAATTTACAATTAGAATCAATGTTTATATCTACCTTATTGATTATTTTCAACGTTATTTTTTCATTCATCACTACTTTCTAAAAGAAATTTCAGAATTAATATTCCCTTTTAATATTTGATCTTTCAGTGAAATTATTTGATATTTAATGGTGTGTAAGAACATTGATATTATTCTTTCACATACATATATTTGTTTCATTTATGAGCATGTATAGCATCCTTATGACTTAACTGAAGCATCTAACCAGCTCCCTCCGTCAACATCCTTATGACTTAACTGTGGCGACTAACCAGCTCCCTCCATCAACATCCTTATGACTTAACTGAGGCGACTAACCAGCTCCCTCCATCAACATCCTTATGACTTAACTGTGGCGACTAACCAGCTCCCTCCGTCAACATCCTTATGACTTAACTGAGGCGACTAACCAGCTCCCTCCGTCAACATCCTTATGACTTAACTGAGGCGACTAACCAGCTCCCTCCATCAACATCCTTATGACTTAACTGAGGCGACTAACCAGCTCCCTCCATCAACATCCTTATGACTTAACTGAGGCGACTAACCAGCTCCCTCCATCAACATCCTTATGACTTAACTGTGGCGACTAACTAGCTCCCTCCGTCAACATCCTTATGACTTAACTGTGGTGACTAACTAGCTCCCTCTATCAACATCCTTATGACTTAACTGTGGCGACTAACTAGCTCCCTACATCAACATCCTTATGACTTAACTGTGGCGACTAACCAGCTCCCTCCATCAACATCCTTATGACTTAACTGTGGCGACTAACCAGCTCCCTCCATCAACATCCTTATGACTTAACTGTGGCGACTAACCAGCTCCCTCCATCAACATCCTTATGACTTAACTGAGGCGACTAACCAGCTCCCTCCGTCAACATCCTTATGACTTAACTGTGGCGACTAACCAGCTCCCTCCATCAACATCCTTATGACTTAACTGAGGCGACTAACCAGCTCCCTCCGTCAACATCCTTATGACTTAACTGAGGCGACTAACCAGCTCCCTCCATCAACATCCTTATGACTTAACTGAGGCGACTAACCAGCTCCCTCCATCAACATCCTTATGACTTAACTGTGGCGACTAACCAGCTCCCTCCATCAACATCCTTATGACTTAACTGAGGCGACTAACCAGCTCCCTCCATCAACATCCTTATGACTTAACTGAGGCGACTAACCAGCTCCCTCCATCAACATCCTTATGACTTAACTGTGGCGACTAACCAGCTCCCTCCATCAACATCCTTATGACTTAACTGAAGCATCTAACCAGCTCCCTCCATCAACATCCTTATGACTTAACTGAGGCGACTAACCAGCTCCCTCCATCAACATCCTTATGACTTAACTGAGGCGACTAACCAGCTCCCTCCATCAACATCCTTATGACTTAACTGAGGCGACTAACCAGCTCCCTCCATCAACATCCTTATGACTTAACTGAGGCGACTAACCAGCTCCCTCCGTCAACATCCTTATGACTTAACTGTGGCGACTAACCAGCTCCCTCCATCAACATCCTTATGACTTAACTGAGGCGACTAACCAGCTCCCTCCATCAACATCCTTATGACTTAACTGAGGCGACTAACCAGCTCCCTCCATCAACATCCTTATGACTTAACTGAGGCGACTAACCAGCTCCCTCCATCAACATCCTTATGACTTAACTGTGGCGACTAACCAGCTCCCTCCATCAACATCCTTATGACTTAACTGAGGCGACTAACCAGCTCCCTCCATCAACATCCTTATGACTTAACTGCGGCGACTAACCAGCTCCCTCCATCAACATCCTTATGACTTAACTGAGGCGACTAACCAGCTCCCTCCATCAACATCCTTATGACTTAACTGTGGCGACTAACCAGCTCCCTCCATCAACATCCTTATGACTTAACTGAGGCGACTAACCAGCTCCCTCCGTCAACATCCTTATGACTTAACTGAGGCGACTAACCAGCTCCCTCCATCAACATCCTTATGACTTAACTGTGGCGACTAACCAGCTCCCTCCATCAACATCCTTATGACTTAACTGAGGCGACTAACCAGCTCCCTCCATCAACATCCTTATGACTTAACTGTGGCGACTAACCAGCTCCCTCCATCAACATCCTTATGACTTAACTGAGGCGACTAACCAGCTCCCTCCATCAACATCCTTATGACTTAACTGTGGCGACTAACCAGCTCCCTCCATCAACATCCTTATGACTTAACTGTGGCGACTAACCAGCTCCCTCCATCAACATCCTTATGACTTAACTGAGGCGACTAACCAGCTCCCTCCATCAACATCCTTATGACTTAACTGTGGCGACTAACCAGCTCCCTCCATCAACATCCTTATGACTTAACTGAGGCGACTAACCAGCTCCCTCCATCAACATCCTTATGACTTAACTGTGGCGACTAACCAGCTCCCTCCATCAACATCCTTATGACTTAACTGTGGCGACTAACCAGCTCCCTCCATCAACATCCTTATGACTTAACTGAGGCGACTAACCAGCTCCCTCCATCAACATCCTTATGACTTAACTGTGGCGACTAACCAGCTCCCTCCATCAACATCCTTATGACTTAACTGAGGCGACTAACCAGCTCCCTCCATCAACATCCTTATGACTTAACTGTGGCGACTAACCAGCTCCCTCCATCAACATCCTTATGACTTAACTGAGGCGACTAACCAGCTCCCTCCATCAACATCCTTATGACTTAACTGTGGCGACTAACCAGCTCCCTCCATCAACATCCTTATGACTTAACTGAGGCGACTAACCAGCTCCCTCCATCAACATCCTTATGACTTAACTGAGGCGACTAACCAGCTCCCTCCGTCAACATCCTTATGACTTAACTGAGGCGACTAACCAGCTCCCTCCATCAACATCCTTATGACTTAACTGAGGCGACTAACCAGCTCCCTCCATCAACATCCTTATGACTTAACTGAGGCGACTAACCAGCTCCCTCCATCAACATCCTTATGACTTAACTGTGGCGACTAACCAGCTCCCTCCATCAACATCCTTATGACTTAACTGTGGCGACTAACCAGCTCCTTCCATCAACATCCTTATGACTTAACTGAGGCGACTAACCAGCTCCCTCCATCAACATCCTTATGACTTAACTGTGGCGACTAACCAGCTCCCTCCATCAACATCCTTATGACTTAACTGAGGCGACTAACCAGCTCCCTCCATCAACATCCTTATGACTTAACTGTGGCGACTAACCAGCTCCCTCCATCAACATCCTTATGACTTAACTGAGGCGACTAACCAGCTCCCTCCATCAACATCCTTATGACTTAACTGAGGCGACTAACCAGCTCCCTCCGTCAACATCCTTATGACTTAACTGAGGCGACTAACCAGCTCCCTCCATCAACATCCTTATGACTTAACTGAGGCGACTAACCAGCTCCCTCCATCAACATCCTTATGACTTAACTGTGGCGACTAACCAGCTCCCTCCATCAACATCCTTATGACTTAACTGTGGCGACTAACCAGCTCCCTCCATCAACATCCTTATGACTTAACTGTGGCGACTAACCAGCTCCCTCCATCAACATCCTTATGACTTAACTGAGGCGACTAACCAGCTCCCTCCATCAACATCCTTATGACTTAACTGAGGCGACTAACCAGCTCCCTCCATCAACATCCTTATGACTTAACTGAGGCGACTAACCAGCTCCCTCCATCAACATCCTTATGACTTAACTGAGGCGACTAACCAGCTCCCTCCATCAACATCCTTATGACTTAACTGTGGCGACTAACCAGCTCCCTCCATCAACATCCTTATGACTTAACTGTGGCGACTAACCAGCTCCCTCCATCAACATCCTTATGACTTAACTGTGGCGACTAACCAGCTCCCTCCATCAACATCCTTATGACTTAACTGAGGCGACTAACCAGCTCCCTCCATCAACATCCTTATGACTTAACTGAGGCGACTAACCAGCTCCCTCCATCAACACCCTTATGACTTAACTGAGGCGACTAACCAGCTCCCTCCATCAACATGACTTAACTGAGGCGACTAACTATCTCCCTCCATCAACATGACTTAACTGAGGCGACTAACTATCTCCCTCCATCAACATGACTTAACTGAGGCGACTAACCAGCTCCCTCCATCAACATGACTTAACTGAGGCGACTAACCAGCTCCCTCCATCAACATGACTTAACTGAGGCGACTAACCAGCTCCCTCCATCAACATGACTTAACTGAGGCGACTAACCAGCTCCCTCCATCAACATTCTTATGTCTTTACTGAAGAATCTAACTAGCTCCCTCCACCAACAGACTGACCAGCCACTGGAAGGCCCTCCAGACCACACGAGACAGTGGTCAGCAGTTCGAACCCTCCCTGGAGGAGTTCATGGCCTGGCTAGAGAGCACCGAGTCCTCCTTCAACTCTCTGGCCAACCAGACGGCCAACCAGGACCTGAGGAACAACCAGGAGCTGGCTGAGGAGTTTCTGGAACAGTTCAGGGTGAGTCGTCTCTTACACAACCTTCACCTTTCATCTCCTATTACCTCTGAACTTTCACCTCAACTTTCACTTTTCCCCTCAACCTTCACCTTTCCCCTCAACCTTCACCTTTCAACTCAACCTCTTTCCCCTCAACCTTCACCTTTCAACTCAACCTTCACCTTTCACCTCAACCTTCACCTTTCACCTAAACTTTCACTTTTCAACCTAAACTTCACCTCTCACCTCAACCTTCACCTTTCACCTCAACCTTCACCTTTCAACCCAAACTTCACCTTTCACATCTGATGTACCTCTGTGTAACAAAATAATGCACAGCTTTGTATCCATCTCCCACTACATAAAACGTAATGTAAGACTTCACTAGATAACCACACCTCATCTTATAGGCCCTTTTAGTACCTCCCTCCCCCCCCCCCCCACCACACCACCACCACCAGCACACACAGTTCGGTGTGAGTTGCGCCTTGAACCACTAACTTGCCTTTTACTTATAACAGTTCGAATGGCCTATCAATATCATCACCATCTTTACTTTCTTGTAATGGTTATTTATCGTATTTGATTGCGTGCGTGCGTTACTGCGCACTGTGACCTATAGAATACTGAAAATGTTAGACCTTGTGTTGTATGACAAGTAAGTATGACAGACAGTAGAAGCATCAGAACAACAACAACGAATGTACCAGTTTCTTGAGTTGCTCATCTGTACTCGCGTGATGCCACTACATCCGTGTGAGACAACGTGTAGTTTCCCTCGTGTGAGTGTTGTAGAATCAGCCCCACCCATGTCCTCCCTCATCCTGACCATGGACTTAGTCACGTGTTAATGTTTAACTCATCTGTCGTGGAACATGGTCATCCATAATGCGATACGTTTAATAATTGATGACGGACTATTCGCGCGCCAATTCGATTGGTTGGTTTCCTGACAACATAGGGCTAGCTGACGGAAAGGGGAAAAGTTAAATACATTTTTTAACCCGGAAGTCGGTTGTTCACCGGGTGGGAAGGGGAGAGGAGGGGGGTGAGTACTGGTCGTGATGTTCAGAGGTTTTATCTAGTGTTGTGAGAGAGGATATCTTGGCTGGGGGTGGTGGGGAGGGGAGAGAGACAAACACCAGGTGTCCAGACGAATTCTTTTTTTTTTTGTATCAGCCAATAAACTGTCTGGGTCTTGGTAATTGGCGTGGTGTTTTAGAGCTGGCCAGTGGCCCCAGACTTGCCCGCCACTAGTAGCTTAGACATGGCCCTTTGTATCTAGACCCACATCAACTACAGATGGCCAGTGGCCCCAGACTTGCCCGCCACTAGTAGCTTAGACATGGCCCTTTGTATCTTAGACATGGCCCTTTGTATCTAGGCCCGCATCAACTAGAGCTGGCCAGTGGCCCCAGACTTGCCCGCCACTAGTAGCTTAGACATGGCCCTTTATATCTAGACCCACCTGACGTACTCTGGGCCACTGGCCTCCATGTACCTCAGCATGGTACCTCTTGCAGCTACACACTCTAGTGTCAATATTTTCCACGTCCGTTTTTTATGCTAGTTCATTCCACTTTAGTGTTTAATAAAATTTAAAATTAAAACATGTATGTTGATCTTATTGTTTTAAGCCTGATTATATGCTGGTCAATTACCTAATGTTGTACAAGAGCGTGTGCAGGTATTGTCATCCCACTACTTCCACCTCGGGATTTCTTTAATAAATGTAACCTGAAGCTACCAGAACCTTCTAAATCTACCCCCCCCCCCCTTTCCTGCGGGTGTATTTTCTACTATTCATCAGCTGAATGTTTTAGATTAAGGTCAATTCTATGAGTAGACAGTGGTCGCGGGGGCTTGGGTGGTTGACTGACCTACTTTAGGCGGAGCTGATGACGTACTTCCTGTCGTCTCAATCAAGAGACAAGACGTCTAATGGCCGCCACTCTGCTGCCCGCCTCGCGAAAGTTATTCCTGGAACTAGCAGAGTGCTTGGACCATTCTACCCCGTTAAGTTCCATCTGATCACCAGATTATGTTTTAACTCGAATTTGATTCACTCCCCCCCCCCCCCCCCCTCTACACCGCAGTGGTTGAGGAAACCATGCCGTTAATTTTCCACCTGGTCGATACCGATCAAACGTATCCTACCAAAATTGTATATCTTTACCTCTTCATTAAACAGAACCCCCACCATAAATCCCAATCCAGTCACTTACTCTCACACATAATACGGCCCCCCCCCCATCTCAATCCACCGCCCCTTTCATCCCCTCTCCACCCCCCTACCCCCAGTTTGTCCAATCCTCTCGGCGACCTATCACCTCCAACCCAAACCATCTTATCCCCCTGATCCCATCCCCACCCCCCCCCCAACCTACTAATCTAGCTCTGACCTCCCTCCCTCCCCCAACCTAATAATCTAGGTCTAACCTCCCTACACCCAACCTACTAATCTAGGTCTGACCTCCCTCCCTCCCCCCCCCCCCAACCTACTAATCCAGGTCTGACCTTCCCCCAACCTACTAATCCAGGTCTGACCTACCCCCCAACCTACTTATCTAGGTCTGACCTACCCCCAACCTACTAATCTAGGTCTGACCTCCCTCCCTCCCCCCCCCCAACCTACTAATCTAGGTCTGACCTTCCCCCAACCTACTAATCCAGGTCTGACCTACCCCCCAACCTACTTATCTAGGTCTGACCTACCCCCAACCTACTAATCTAGGTCTGACCTCCCTCCCTCCCCCCCAACCTACTAATCTAGGTCTGACCTACCCCCAACCTACTAATCTAGGTCTGACCTACCCCCAACCTACTAATCTAGGTCTGACCTCCCTCCCCCTCCCAACCTACTAATCTAGGTCTGACCTACCCCCAACCTACTAATCTAGTTCTGACCTACACCCAACCTACTAATCTAGGTCTGACCTCCCTCCCTCCCCCCCCCCCCAACCTACTAATCCAGGTCTGACCTTCCCCCAACCTACTAATCCAGGTCTGACCTACCCCCCAACCTACTTATCTAGGTCTGACCTACCCCCAACCTACTAATCTAGGTCTGACCTCCCTCCCTCCCCCCCCCCCAACCTACTAATCTAGGTCTGACCTTCCCCCAACCTACTAATCCAGGTCTGACCTACCCCCCAACCTACTTATCTAGGTCTGACCTACCCCCAACCTACTAATCTAGGTCTGACCTCCCTCCCTCCCCCCCAACCTACTAATCTAGGTCTGACCTACCCCCAACCTACTAATCTAGGTCTGACCTACCCCCAACCTACTAATCTAGGTCTGACCTCCCTCCCCCTCCCAACCTACTAATCTAGGTCTGACCTACCCCCAACCTACTAATCTAGTTCTGACCTACCCCCAACCTACTAATCTAGGTCAGACCTCCCTCCCTTCCCCCCCCCCCAACCTACTAATCTAGGTCTGACCTACCCCCAACCTACTAATCTAGGTCTGACCTACCCACAACCTACTAATCTAGGTCTGACCTTCCCCCAACCTACTAATCTAGGTCTGACCTACCCCCCCCCCCCCCCAACCTACTAATCTAGGTCTGACCTACACCCCCAACCTACTAATCTAGGTCTGCTCCTCTCATCCATTTTGTCATTTGATTAGAAAAAAAAAACGGTTTGTTTCGTTTCCCCCCTCGCTCCACAGCCCCTATCTATTGATTTTTACCACTCGCCAGTCGGGCGACTAAAGGACAGAGGACTCGTGGCTTCTCGCCCTCCCCTCCTCTTGTACCTCCGTAGAAAATTACCTACCAGCTGATACATTTTTAAATGCCTTCTTTAAACTTTCTTTGTTTGTTTGTTGGTAGTATTTTTGTTTGTTTTGTTTTCCTTTGGGACACGGGTAACAAACAAGTCCTTCCGATAAACAGAAAATTACGAATCGTTTAAAAACTTGGCTACTAAATTGGAAATTTTACGTTACAAATGTTCGTTTTTGTTTTGTTCTTTTTATTTTTATTGATTTATTTTTTTATTATGCAAAAGAAAAATTCATGTTTTCAAATGGCCATTTGGTGCTTTTAGCTCTTAAATTGTCCCTTTATTCAATGACAATCAATATTTGTGCGGCTGGTCTAAGCTTAAAAAGGCACATCTAATTTAAGCGTCTTTATTCTATATGCTCAGAATGGCAGGCCTAGTCTAAATGCCGCTATACTGGTCTAGTCTAAACGCCGCTATACTCGTCTAGTCTAAACGCCGCTAGGTCTAGTCTAAACGCCGCTATACTGGCCTAGTCTAAATGCCGCTATACTGGTCTAGTCTAAATGCCGCTAGGTCTAGTCTAAATGCCGCTATACTGGTCTAGTCTAAATGCTGCTAGGTCTAGTCTAAATGCCGCTATACTGGTCTAGTCTAAATGCCGCTAGGTCTAGTCTAAATGCCGCTATACTGGTCTAGTCTAAATGCTGCTAGGTCTAGTCTAAATGCCGCTAGGTCTAGTCTAAATGCCGCTAGGTCTAGTCTAAATGCCGCTATACTGGTCTAGTCTAAACGCCGCTATACTAGTCTAGTCTAAACGCCGCTATCCTGGTCTAGTCTAAATGCCGCTATACTGGTCTAGTCTAAACGCCGATATACTGGTCTAGTCTAAACGCCGCTATACTGGTCTAGCCAAAACGCCGCTATACTAGTCTAGTCTAAACGCCGCTATCCTGGTCTAGTCTAAATGCCGCTATACTGGTCTAGTCTAAACGCCGATATACTGGTCTAGTCTAAACGCCGCTATACTGGTCTAGCCAAAACGCCGCTATACTAGTCTAGTCTAAACGCCGCTATCCTGGTCTAGTCTAAATGCCGCTATACTGGTCTAGTCTAAACTCCGATATACTGGTCTAGTCTAAACATCGATATACTGGTCTAGGTGCTGTCTAACTTCGGAGTGAAAAGACCAATAGTGACTCGTCTGCTCCAGGAAGTGACTCATCTGCTCCAGGAAGTGACTCGTCTGGTCCAGGAAGTGACCCTAATCAAAATGGCGTAGGTAAT